CGGAGAAACAGACTGCATTAGTCAAGATTGTACATTGTAGGATAAATTTCTTTCATAAATTCCCCAAACGTTCATTTGAAATGTGGATCAGTACACAATAATCTTGAAGCACAAGTTGTTTTTTAGGTATGCAGAAGTTAGGGATGCAGCCCTCTGTAGAGAATTATGCAAAATAATGGATTGGATATAGCAGCATATCATGTATATGCATTAGCAGGGTGGATTCTATAAGGTAATGGGGTGGAATTACAAAAAAGATGGTTTGAGAGAACAAGGAGAACATAAGTTTTTTTGAACGTAGTTATTTCCTAAGATAATGTTTTAAGATGTTTGACTTCAACTCCTAGAATTCACAGCTGGTTGCTATGTTGTAACTTGTGATGGCCATAAAGCAAATCCCCACTTTTAACAGTTCTTTTTTGTGGCAGTTGTTAAGCAAATCCAGTGATTGTTAAGTGAACCAATGGTTCACTACAGGTATAGTTTTGCTAAAACCCAGAAGTAAATGTTGGTTTTCAGCAAAATTTTGTAAAACGTGATCACAGAACACTGCAAAGGGCTGTAAAGATGGACTGGTTTGTACAGTCATGTGACTGTAAGGGGAGCACACTTTTGGAACTTCAAATTTGGACTGAAGCACCCGGTCTGTTTGAACTTCCAGTGGTTGCTAAGCAACCAGTGTTGAGGACTAACTGTTAACATTTCATGCACAGAACATTTCTGCCCCTTTAATAAAGAAACCACATTTATGTAGCTCTGTTTGACTCTTTATTTTTACACTTTGAGAGTAACAAGAAAGCTTTATGAAACGAATACTTCATAACTCTGTAACAGATTAAAACAAAACAAAAGACACCATGCTATACACTTCTGAAGAAAGTCTGCTTCTTTAGCCTAAGGCAAATATTTTCGCTTTAACATCCATTTAAGAATCCAAATAGATGAAGGGAATTGTCGTGGCAAATTGAAAATATGCTTTTCCAATTAAAAAAAACACTTTGTGACTTTTAAAAGAGCCATTTTTTAGTTTTACAGATAAATTATCATGCATGATTTCTTCATGTAAGAATAAAATTCCTCATTAGAACAGTTCTGTTTTAAAGAGTAAATGCAATTTTTTAAAATAAAATATGGAGAATCAAATCCTAAAAGATTGATTTAGCCTATTTCCATTTTAGTATTTTCCAGTGTTAAAATTATACTATTTAGAACTACAGGTAGTCCTCAACTTACAACCACAATGGAGCCCAAATTTTCTGTTGCTAAGCAAGACAGTTGTTAAGTGAACGCTGTCCCATTAATGCCCTTTCCTCCCACTGTTGTTAAAGAGAATCACTGCAGTTGTTAAAAGTTAGTAACATGGTTGTTAAATTAATCCGGCTGCCCCATTGACTTTGCTTGCCAGAAGGTTGCAAAAGGTAATCACATGACCCTGGGACACTACAACCATCATAAATGTGAGTCAGTTGCCAAAAGTCTGAATTTTGATCACATGACCATAGGGATGCTGCCACAGTTGTGTGAAAAACAATGCCGTTGTAACTTCGAACTATCATCAAATGAACTGTTGTAAATCGAGGACTACCTATACAATTTATTTCCTTTTTTAAACTGCTGCTTTGTTGCTTTTTCTCCGATTAGGGTATCCTTAAGTGCTCTGAAGCGAGTTTCAAAAGGGTACATGAATTCCTCCATTTCAGCAGTTTAGCTGAATATCCTGCCATTACACAATAGCCCCATCAGTGCTTCCATGCATAAAGTGCACAGATGAAATGCCATTAGTTACATCCAGTTGCGATAAGTCATACATACAGGGTACAAAAACTATTTAATTTACTATTTGAAGCCATAGAATTGCACATTGATAATTACACACTGATTAAGAATTACAGTAATGTGTTTTTAAAAGTAACATTTTTTTCATTTTAGTAACATTTAATATTGCGATATACAATAATGAAATAAAGTTTCATATTTTTAAAAGGGAATATTCATAATTTCAGCAAAATATAAATATGTTCTGGCAAAATATTTTTTACATGGATTTATGTTACAAGTATGAATTTTGTACTTCAGCAGATTTCATAGTAGCAGAGTTCAGTGGGAAAATTGACCTTGTTAACAAATTGGTGTATTTCAACATTGTAAACAAATTCAGTAAAACACTACACAACCTGTTTCAGAAATATATACAATAAAAATATTTAATTTTCCATAATCAGTGGAATTACTAGTTTAACGCAAAACATCTTTTAGCCAGCTGATTTAACATGTTGTTAAACCTAAAAAGCATTCCTGCTTGCAAAGAGGGATATCTGCAGTAAATGTCATCTGAATTGTTTTCCATGAAGCATTTTCTTGAAACCAGATGTTACTAATGCCAATTTTTCATATATTTATGAATAACTAAATCAAGGCAAGTGTTCTAGATCATCATGTTAACAGAATAACAGTTAGAAGGGACCTTGGTGGTCTTGTAGCCCAACCCCAATGTTTCTTTCAAAGACTTGTATAGTGGCTAATTATATTCTTGAGTATCCTAAATGGATATAGGAACATCTATTAAAAATGTAGCTTAGGTAAACTACATTTAATATTGCAATGTATTTTTATTTATTTTATAAGACAAATCAAATTGTGACTTGGGTACTAGTTAACAATATTGTCTAAGAAAAGATATAATGTAACAGGCAATTTAGATTACCACCATCACTTATACTATTTTAAAATTAAAGAAAAAACTAAAGAGAAAAAAATCTATCTGAATAATGTTGCTGTCAAGACAGCTAATGTGCAGATATCAGATAGATTAATATTGCAACTGAGCTCTCAATTCACTGCTGTTTTAGTTAAAAACCCCAGAGTCGTGAGAAATGGCAATCTTCAGGAAGAACCCCCATGCTGGTGAGTTCTTCAAATGGGTACAACAGATGCACAAACCAAAGTTATTTTTGCACCAAATACAAGATTCTAATGAAATGAATGGTGATTTATTGTTTTTACAATACTCACTTAAATTAGTGAAAAGCTAAACTGTTTGTATCATGAGCTGGAAATATATGGTAACTGTTTCTGTAACATTGCAGAAGATAAGATATACTATAGCCATAATTTCCTCAATAGTATATCAGTAGAGTGATAACAACCACCCATCGCACAGCATGGCCCAGCCATAGGTTTGTGTATATCTACTTTTCTAATCAAATGAACTGAGTAAACTGCTTCAAAGAAAAGTATCAGGTAAATTTTTTCTCTCATTTCTTATTCACTGATAGATCCATAATAAGCAAGGCAGGATAGTCAGATACTAAGAACCAAGTTTAGCAGAGTTATACAGATTAGCCATAAATATTTATTTCCCATGAGACAATATTAATATTTTAGGTCATTTGCTTATTCATAATACATAACATACTAGATTTATCTTCTAAAAGTAGATTTTCCTATAATTTCCAGAATTTTAAGTCTAGATGACCCAAAAATTCTGAGAATTTACTTCATCTCCTTTGGAGGACATAAAGTAACAATATTCATACATTCTACTGGACAGATCAAAATTTTAGTCCCACCAAATGAAGAGTCGGCTGTTGTGCTTCATTCCTCTAAGCATACTACTATACTTTGTTATAAGATCAAAATAAGATGGTATTAAAGGGCTGCCCCCCTTCAACTTTTTGGCAGCATATATTTACAACTTTCATTTAAACTGTATGCATGCAAGAGGTAATTTTATAACAATATAAAGATAAATATGAATATTCATTTGAAAAAATGTTTATTAAACACAAAGGACAATGTAACTCACAACCATGTTACCATACAGAAGAACATTTTATTTATGTATCTTTTTCTCCTTAAGAAAATAAAAATGGAAAAATTGTTAAAAATAAGGGAGACTAGTATTATTTTAATAACCTAACCACTTCATTCCAAAGACCTTTAAAATTTATGTTCTTATTCTCAAAAATATATTGAATAAGGCATATTTGTAGTCCACTTTGAGTAACAGGCTGAAATTGTATTAGAATATACCACCAATGGTAATTTTCAGCATTTTCAGACAGGGATCCAAATACAACAACTTTAAAATGGAGAGTCATTGTATCTTACACCAGCTTTTTTGGTTTCTTTATATTTGCTTTCCAAAGTCAGTTCAGAATTTTAGAATTTAACGAAGATGGTTAAGAACAATATAACCAACTCCATTGTGAACCAGCAAGTATAATTCACTGAGATTTACAAATGATATGCAAATGATATGCAAAACCTCTATATAGTCAGCAGCATTGACCAGACCTCAGTTTTCATTTAAAGACTAGACTGATGTAGCTTCACCACAAATCTTGTTACATGTAATTTTTATAAAACTAGAATACATTCCCCTTTTAGTGCCTTTAACCTCTGCAGTTCACATTAATATTGATTGTACTGCAAGAAAGTAAGCAAAATTAATTTAGCTCGGTTATTCCTAGTGGCCAGAGATTTAATTTTCTTGGCATACAATCATGACTTGGACACATTTCCTACTTCCTGCTTGCAAATAATAGTATTGCAAAATGGAAACAGATAAACATCCTTTCTTATCTAGTCCCCTGAGAAGAGAAAGACTTTATCATCCAAACAAGTACCGTGTTACTCATATAATAAGGCCGGGTCTTATTTTTTTTTGAGCCCCGAAAAAATGGCTAGGCTGTCTTTTCGGGGGTGACTTAATTCTCCCCCCCCTTGCATCTTTGGGTGGGCACGTGGCGACGGCTTGGATGTTGACTTCGGCGTTGGCGGGGCACTTCGTATCGGGGTCAACGCAGGCAGCACCATATCCGGGTGTGCAACAAAAGTACTTCCTAACGGCAAGCCCCCCCACCATTCCCCCCCATTTCGCATGTTTTAATATAGGCCTTAATTTGGGGGGAGGGGCTTAATTTCATTTCATGCCTATAAAACATGCTGGGACTTCCTATTGGGGGAGGCTGTATTGTTGGAGAAACAGGGTAAATAAACCAATGGAAGATTGAAAAAGTTGCCACTAATTGGCTTTTTTTTTTTATCCTGACAAATTTCTTACGAGTTCCTCTTGCAAGCCACAACTTCACAGTACAGTACTTATTTTTCCCCTTTTGCACTCCAAACTGAAATAGAAGTCAGATTCAAGAGGAAACAAGTTCTTACAATTCGGGACTGAGGAAAAAAAGGAGTGTTCTGTGGGATTGAAATGAAGACTGAAAACCTGATGGGTTTAGCTTATTCTGCTTTTCTCTTCCAGGTTAAAGTAAATTGCACCACTTTCCTTATTTTTTAGACTGAAGAAAGCCACAATAAATTGGCTATTGTCATTTTCAAGAGGTGTCCAAGTTATTCCATTCCAATTAACCAGTATTGTGCCTTCTTGATTTCAAACCTGAATGTCATAAGCTACATGACAATTTTCATATCTGTAATCTATATATAATGTGTACAAAGTCCTTATTCCTTACAGCAATGAACTTAACGTAAATCTCATTCTAGCAGATGCTTACATAGTTAATAATGGATGCTCCTGTAACAGTTTTAAAACAGCATGTTGAGGAAAGCTTTTGCATTTTTTGTATTTCAGTTCCTTTTTGTGGACATATTTTCCTCTGCTTATGAATACTGCTATACAGCTATCTGTAACAAACTCCAATTTGCTAGTAACAATGCAACAAACTCAGCATGCTTCAGAAAGAAGCTAATTGCTAACTCTAGGATTCTTTAAAATGCCAGTTATTTTAAGAGAGCCTAGAAATAGTCCATTCTCCTATGTCTTTAACCTAGAAAGTGCTAAAAAGATCATAATGGGGACCCCCAAAACCTCTGAATCTCAGTGCTTCATGATTCATACGAATATTTTAGCTAGCATCTGTTCCAGAACCTCAGTGGGCCAAATCAGTGTGACTGACACTCTTAGCTCTTGAATCTGTCAGACAATTAGTTCGTCCCTGCATAGGAAAGAGAACAAAAAGAGTTTATATATAGTTGTAAACTGTGCAATCAGTCACTGAAAAATACAAACTCCAAATGAACAAAATACATGGTAATCCAAAATAAAAAAAACAAAAGACTGGTACTGTTTACCTAAAATTAGTTTTAGGATCTTAACTGAATTTCAAGATTGTTCAGCACACTTTCAGTTATCTACATAAGCTTTATTCCAACATGCAACAATAACATTTCATATCTTTATCGGTGCCTGATTCAGTTCCTTAAAGAGGAATCCAAAAAGCTCCGAATTAAAGTACCTTTTTTCACCACAAGCACAAACCTGGAAGTAGTTGCTTCTGTTCTCAAACTGTGGTTATCTGAAGAACACGTGTTCAGTCAAATCATTCTTTATTACACAAAGTAGCCAATTGTACTATCAGATTTTTTTTATCGTACTTGTTTTAGGAAGTGAGCAATTAAAAATATGTTTCTAAGATAGCATGTGAGCATGAAAGATCTTCAAACCTGTTTTATCAGAACTTAAGGTATCTTGGAAGTTTTTAACAATCCTAAATTCTATGGTTTGTATGATAACATTGACTGATAACAAGTTCTGCCACAGGATATAGAACTCATGAAAATATAGCAACTTCAGCAAACAAGAAAAAATACAATGTTGCATCCTGAAAATGCTAAGAGCTATGATTATTTGTAATATAAAATGCACATCATATATCATATATTTATATTATATTATAAAAATAGGACTATTTTACCTTTTTCATATCTGATCAAACTTCTGTACAGATTCAAGGAAAGGGAGGGGTGCCTATGATGCTACTGTGGCCTCATTAATTAAATATTTAGCTTTACAACCTTATTAAGACAAACGCCTCAAAAACTGAAGACTTTATCCCTCCAACTATTTTACTTTTATTAACTCATGTTATTATATTCCATTTATAAATAGTTCCATTTTTAAAACTGAAATTCTTATTTGCTTTAGGTATCTTATTTTGGGCTTTATATAAATGCAAGAATATTTCAGACAACTGGAACTACTCATGTGTAGGTTTTTCACTCTCCTGGTGTTATGCATTAATATTGAAAGATCCGCTACATTGCCATCTATGTTAGTTGAAATTATAGGGTTAGTTAACAGCCATAACATAACACTAGTCATTTAAACAAGACTACTAAATCAAACATGACAAATATTAAGACATGTGAAAGAGAATCTTCATGCAGACATTATTAAAATGTGACTGGGTTAATATTTTGAGATCTCATTTTTCCCCATGGAAGATTGTAGCCTACTCAATTATTTTCATTAGCAAGTACTATATAGAAATTGAACTTTGAAAAACAATCTTTATAAAAAGTATTGGTTGGAGTTTGAAAATATTTTTGAAGTGTAAATCTTCCTGTAATTACTCAGGGGCACAATTTATTTTTATTTATCGCCCCTTGGGGTAGATTAAAGTTGTTCTAGAGCAGGGGTATCAAACTCAAGGCCCACGGGATGCTTGGATCTGACCTGCAGGGCCGGCTTGTAAATAGCAAAGGACCAGCCTGTGGTGCCTTTGCCTGCAAAAAAGGAGCTCAGGAGAATGCTATGCAATCCTCACGAGTTCCGTTTTCACCGGCAGAGGGTTGCAGGAGGCTGTCACAGCCAGAAACAGAACTCGGGAGCCCATTTCCCTGGCAGACTGCTTGGGCCACCACAGGCGCCCCTGACATGAGTGATGTTGAGCTGGCCACACTCACCCTGGCCCCCCGAGGTCAAACACAACTCTGATGTGGCCTTCAATGAAATCCAGTTTGACACCCCTGCTCTAGAGAGTAAACCAAGCTCTGTGAGTAGCCTCTGGCTTTAGCAAAAGCTGGCAAATTGGAAAAGCCACACAGAATTCCTTCCACTGTTAATTGCCTTCTAGACTAATGATCCAATTTACACAACTGACAAAGTGCTGCAGATTGACATTTAAATGCATCAGTATGCTGGATGTTGTTCAGATATATTTTAATCCTAATCAGTGTGACACTAAACTCCAATAGTCACTTAAAATGCCTGGACAGTGAAGGTAACCTTGCAAACGTCAGGAAATGTGAACATAAAGCAGTCAATAACAGTTTGTCTGCTTTCCCTTAATAATCAAGGTGGAAGACAAGTATGGTTCAGAAAAAGCATTTTGATGATTTTGAAAAACCATGATACAGTAAAATAGTATAAAAAGGATAATATTTCTGCAAGGGGGATTTGAATATCAGTGAGTTTATGTGTAACTTCTAATGCCTTTATACTACAAGCCATTACAGAATAACATTGTCCATATATAAGACAATAAAAATAATACAATGTCTGCTACCTGAAATTATTTATAAATAGCATACAGACACCTCTCACAACTCTATTAACCTCTGCTTGCCTATTATGGGAAAGACAGTATAATATGTGTTTTTTTCACATATAGCCAATTATCTTTATCAGTCTCCAGATAGCTTCATTCATACATTTATGACTTATTCTCTTTTCCTACAAAAAAGCATACGTAGACAGATGCAAGCAATGCAAATCCACAACCCAAGAAGACATGTTCAATTACACAACACCTGAGTGTAGTCTGAACTGCATGGTTCTGTCACCTCTTTTGCTATCTGTATGAAAGACTTATTGTTTCTATTGACAACACTGGAATTTGTGCCTTAAAATATTCAGAGAATAGAAAGAGCAATGAATTAGCAGCAGTCAACAGTATATAAAAGGGTAAAACTGCAAAAGTTGATGGCCATTTTAAATAAAGTTGTTGGGCCTACATACTAGAAGCTTTGAAATAGGTTGTCGCAGTGTTATGACATAAAATTAGGAATGAAACACTATCAAACTTAGTTCCATGTATGAGTTTGGGTTCTCATATGCCCAAATTCATCATTTTACCTATAGCTATTTTAAGCCCTGCCAGTAACGTCTAGTTGCATAAGAATATTATAGGTCTTCTTACTTGAAAATGATCTTCAGTTGTTTTGCCACCCACGTTAAGAATATTCATTGAACTGGCACGCTTCATGCTGGACAGTGAACATGCAATGATAAACCAATCAGAAGAGCTGAAAATGGAAAGCTCTGAATACACAAAACATATATTACAAGAAAATAACTCCTACACTAATAACACCGTTATGACTGAAAGAAATACAATTTAGTATACACACATTTTCCTATATTTATCACAAAGGTCATAAAATTTAAAATTATTTTAAGTATCATTTTATTAGCAATTAAATTCTTTTGCTCTGAACTGGAAAATCCCACCATAGAACTTCTAAAACCCACTGTATCGTACTGTTTTAAATCATTATTTTAAAGATAGATATAGTACTACCGGTATCTACATTTTTTTAAAAAAATCCTTAGTTAAGAACATGTAGTTCATTCTTAGTAACTAAGTGGACAAATGATAGCCTATCTTGACTTGTCCCTTAATAGCTTTAATTTAAATTAAATAATTAAATAATTTAAATTATTGGTTTTTAGAGATTCTCTTTTCTGGAGATAGTTTTTCTGATCTGGACTGCAGATTGTAGAATATAATATATATGAGGCATTGCCAAAATTCTGCCTGAATATTTAAACATTAGCCAACTGAAATCCACAATCTGCAGAGATTTGGTAGCAAACCTCACTGTATTAAACAAGGTAATCAACTCTTCAGCCCCAGAGGATGTTATTATAATCATATTTAGCTATAACAATGCAGATAAAACCTTGTAGAATTTCCATGGTATATTCCAAGATTTATTGAATGATTATCCTACATAGAACTACAGTTATAATAATTTAGGGGGTTCTAACATTTTAGAGGTTTTACCCTTAAAGATTTAAAACCAAGTAGCATAATATACAAATTACTATTTTTCTATACTCTTGGTGTGCTCAGCACAGCAAACATTTGCATTACTGTAGACATTTGCCAGCTGGGATTCTTATGAATCTTTAAGGTCTAAACAGTAAAGTTGGGTGATTAATTAAACTTGGATATTTGGGGATGAAAAACATAAGGGAGCTGACTATTACTACCCAGTCAGTTTACACTGGTCATTTTGGTAAGGGATTTTTATGGGAAATTTGCAATAGTTTATTCCTTGCACTGGAAAGGTCATATTGTGGTGGCTGAAATTATTTGGTCTTATAGATTTGTGTTGTGAGTGAAGCAAGTGTATATCAGTAGACAGGCACACCATATCTTTTGGCACAGCTTAGCCAAAAGACAGTCCCAGCAACATATAGATTTTCACGGGTACAGGTATGCAGGTCTTGGCGTGTTCGGGTCTTTTCCCGTGTAAGATTAAGAGTATCTTGGCGACGTTTTGGCGAGGTCCCACTCGCCATCCTCAGGCTGGTGCTTTCAGCTGTGTTCATGGCGTGTGTCCGTTTGCTTGGTTTGGGGGTCGGGGTGTGTGGCAGCTGGTGATGCAGCCGTGGTCTGGTTTCTGGACGGTGGCTGTCTTTCGTCTATGGGATGGGTTTGGGTTTGAGTCTGGTGAGGGAGAATGGTGGTGGTGTCATGTGTTGTTTTGGGTCCGGTGTTGGTTTTCCTGGCTGGGACTTGTTTGTTGATAAGGGCTAGTTTCCAGATGTCTGGTAGGCGGGAGGCATTGTCCTGTTTATTCATGTTATGGGGGTGTTTCTCTATTTCGATGGCTTCCCTGATTATTCTCTTGTTGAAGTGTTCAGTATTGGAGATTAATATATAGGGAGACGGCATCTCCAATCACGCTTTGCTCGCACAAGCATGAAGCCGAAAGCACCAGCCTGAAGATGGCGAGTGGGACCTCGTCGAAACGTCACCAAGATACTCTCAATCTTACATGGGAAAAGACCCGAACACGCCAAGACCTGCAATAATAATAATAATAATAATAATGTGTGTGTGTGTGTGTGTGTGTGTGTGTGTAGATTTTCATGGGTACAAGTATGTAGGTCTAGGTGTGTTCGGGTCTTTTCCCGTGTAAGATTAAGAGTATCTTGGCAACGTTTCGGCGAGGTCCCACTCGCCATCCTCAGGCTGGTGCTTTTGGCTTTGTGCTTGTGCGAGCAAAGCATGATCGGAGATGCCGTCTCCCTATATATTAATCTCCAATACTGAACATTTCAACAAGAGAATAATCAGGGAAGCCATCAAAATAGAGAAACACCATCATAACATGAATAAACAGGACAATGCCTCCCACCTACCAGACATCTGGAAACTAGCCCTTATCAACAAACAAGTCCCTGCCACTAAAACCAACACCAGACCCAAAACAACACGATACCACCACCATTCTCCCTCACCATACTCAAACCCAAACCCATCCCATAGACGAAAGACAACCACCGTCCAGAAACCAGACCACGGCTGCATCACCAGCTGCCACACACCCTGACCCCCAAACCAAGCAAACGGACACACGCCATGAACACAGCTGAAAGCACCAGCCTGAGGATGGCGAGTGGGACCTCGCCGAAACGTCGCCAAGATGCTCTTAATCTTACACGGGAAGAGACCTGAACACACCTAGACCTACACACACACACACGCACACACACACACACACACATATATGGTATTCAGCTTTGTTCGGGTATTTTCCCACGTCATTATAGTTGTGCTTTTGAAGCTGTAGCAACGTTTCGGCAGAATCTCATCTGCCATCATCAGGCTTCTGGATAGTGTTCGACAAACACTATACAGAAGCCTGATGATGGCAGATGAGATTCTGCTGAAACGTTGCTACAACTTTAAAAGCACAACTATCAGGACATGTGAAAATACCCGAATAAAGCTGAATACCATACATGTAAGTACCCACGAAAACTTAAGAAAACAAATATGTGTGTGTGTGTGTGTGTGTGTGTAATTTTCTCACCTATGCACACCATTAATATAACAAGCCTTGGAAATTCAAGCAAATTTATTGTAAACAAAATAAGAAATATTTACACTGTATTGGTGCCAACAATAACAATATATTTCTGCATATCCAAGTACTTCAATGCATGCATATTAAAAAACAGGTGTTATCAACATAAAGTAGTAAGTCATGCAATATTTACATATTATTTATATATACTGTTAAAACATGTATTGTTAATCTAAAAATGTTTAACACAGCACAGATATGAACATCTGAGTTTTTAAATGAAAATTATCCACAGATGACACTAAAACATTAGTCAATTTTTAAAAATTGACTTCATACCCAGGGTGATATAAATTTAATTGTTTTGGAATATAAATAGTAGCAGTACATTATATGGGAAATCTTTGACAAGACAAAATCTGGTTTTCACATGTTTCAAAATTCCTGTTGCATTAGAATCTGCAACCAGGTCATGATACTATTATTCCTGCAGCACCATTCCTTCGAGTACAAATCAATTAAGGTACAGGAAAAAAAATCCCGACGATTTGAACTAATATCAACACTAGATAGCCCACTAAAGACAGGGCTGTGTAAAGGCTGAGTGTCTAAGGGCTGAGATTGAAGTGAAGGACATTAGCATCAAGAGGCCTGCCAGTTAATTTAGAGAGGTGGGAAGAAGAAGCCTAGAATGTTGACTTGTGGCTATAGAGAACAGATATACACAGCCTGTGACTTCTTTGCACTGCACTGGGAAATCACTGTTTATATCTTGTCTGTAATAAAAAATTAAATCTAGTCAATTTGATCTGAGCATATTCTGCCTAATGGAGGTTAGAATTGAATAAAGAAAAACCTATTATTTACTGCTGAGTGTTCATTTGATTTCCTTAAGCACGTTCAATAAACAATTGGCCCCAAGTTCCAAGTTGGAGGTGGGTAGTGGTGTAGATTGTTCTATAAAAACAAAAAACAAATCCAACCCTAAAAATTGACATTACGGGCCATTGTTTTACTGATCACACATAAATATCATCATGGACAGATACCACTTCAAATGAGCTATTAGTTAGAAGTTAAACTATATAACAGTTTGTATTAAATAAAAGTAGATTGGAATCTTGTTATTCTTCTATTTGGGCAAATTCCCACTTGCAGCAGAATTCAAGAAGTCATACATGTTTTGAACCAATGGATTTATGATTCACAACAGCAGTTTTCCAAGAGTGTAAGCCTCTTAAGATAGGCTGTCAAAAACAGTTTGTGATACTGCTCTGAGACTTGCTATTTTTAATCTTAAAATCATCACGGCCCTTTATATAAATAATGTTTCAAATTGTTTATTGAATAATAATCATATTTAAGGAAATGCAGCAGCATGAAAGTAATATAGGAACATGAAAGTAATATAGAAGAGAAGATATATAATTATCTACAGTGACAAGTTGAATATCAGAATTTATTTTTTTATAAAATAAAACTCCTGCAGTGCCAACTTAATTGTGCCAAAATAAAGTTAATTAACATAGAATGTAAGACTACCAAGTTTCACACTGGATAATAAACAATGTAGCTACCGAAGATTTTTCTCTGAATGCAAAAACTTCCTCAAAGCTGATCTTCTGGTAATTATCTAGACATATGCAGATAGGATTTGGTTGTGGGGGTAATGTTTTGTTTTCGGCACAGTATAGAAATTATTTGCCTCTTTCTTATTTTAGCAATCTTTTTATATGATTTACATTCCTGGGATTTCCTAATAATTTCCCATCCAAATACTATCTAGTTTGATCATCCTTAACTTTTCTGAGAGCAGGTAAGTTTTGTTGAATGCTCCCATCTACTGTGATTTACCAAATGGGAAGAGATTGGAAAGTTTGAAAGCAAACAATCATCTCGAAAAAAATAAAAGCAATAGTTCAAAAAGGAAAAACATGTTTTCTATTTAAAAGAGGGAAACACTGCAGTTCTTCTGAAGGAATTCCAAAAAAGGAAGAAAAGTTAGAATAAATAAGATGGGAAAATACTATACTGTAGCTTGGATTAGAATAAAAATAAAACAAGTACCAATAATAATAATTATGAATTTAGAAGGATATTACTTCAATTGTAAGAAATTAAAAAAATAAAATTGCATTTGAACTCCAATAATTTTTTTAATCAACAAGCTCTGAAATATTATAAAGGCATAATTTAGTTGTTAAACCTTCCTTTTTATTTCTTAAAAATATAGGTAATTCTCTTTCAAAACTGTGTATAGAACTTTATAAAAGTAATACATAAATCTTAATTTATTTCCTTCTCCCCATATCCAATACTATTCCAAAACTGATAGGTTTTTCACTTGTATAGATTTATCAGAAAAAAGGATCTCAAATTAATAGAAATAGCAGATCTCAATAAGGGCACTTAAATAATACCGTTATTTAACAATATTTTATAGAATGTATATTTTCAAAACAAAGTGGATTGCTCTTTGAAAAACAATGAAAGTAGTTAAGTATTTTATTTGTAAACCAAACTTTAAAATTGATGAAAGCTTATGCTAATGCAACATTTTAAAGCAATATAAAATAACTGTGAAATGTTTACAAATTTTTAAGTTGTTTTTTACTCAGACAAAGGGAAAAGGCTGGTTTTAGAAAGAAAAATATTCTTGAAAGAAACAAAAAGTGCATTTAAGAATATTTTAAGGAAAGGAGATGGCTTTGGAAATATTTTGCTATTATTTATTGACTGAAAATCTAGTAGTTCAGAGAAAAAGTATCCCAAAAATGTTTAACTGCCTTATCAATAACCTAAATACGGAAATATTCCAAACTGGAAAGTGACAGATTAGAAAAGATTATGGGATAAAGGCCTTGATGGTTACAGACAAAGTCAAAAGATAATCACAAGCAGAAGTAACCATGTTTACTGTAGCAAAAAAACAATCAGATCTGATCTAGATGCTTTCCTTGTTAAAAGAAAGACTTTCATTTCCTTTATTACTGTTACCTGTTTTTCAAAGCACCATAGGTAGAAATAGATTGGTTTCTATATTTCCAACCAGACTGTCTTCATTGTTTTTACTGAAATGGCATCGTATAACTTCTTTTAACAGTTAATAATACTTTCATGTAATAAAATCTGTAAAGTTTATTTCCTTAGACCTGGAAACAACTCTCTCTCTCTCTCTCTCTCTCTCTCTCTCTCTCTGTGTGTGTGTGTGTGTGTGTGTGTGCGCGCGTGTGTGTGTAGAGAGAGAGAGACAGACTGATAACATATCTCTGTATATTTGGAGTGAATAACAAAGTTATTCATGCTTTTTACGAAAAAAAATTCAAACCATAAGATTCATAAGGAAGAATGAGCATACATTTCAAAAGGAGCCCTGATGATATTGGTACCAAGTATATCTTTTATTTATTAGAAGGACTGGATAAAGAATTTCAGTCCATTTTAATATAACAATAGTTTATTTGCAGGAATTCTAGACAAAGTAGACGAACAGGTTTTATTAATATGTGAGAATTTAAAAAAAGTTTCATGTTTACATGTTTATTAAATGTAAACAGGTCCCAATTAAACAGATCTGTACAGATTCAATAAACTAGTTTGATTAGATATTATACACATGGGTTAATTTCTCATGTTAAATTAAATCTTAATAACTTTCAGAATAAATTAAAAGGCTCGTATTTGTTATTAAGGAGAACCTGCTGAAATTCCAGCCAAGTGCATTAGTCATTCTATGTAGGATGACAGCGCAATCAATTCTTGAACTAGTCATTTATATAATGTCAAAATTTTTACAAAGCCATAATACTGTTTACAAACTTTTTACAACTATTTATGACTAACTTTCAACATCATCCTCTGTACTGCATTTTTGTGAGAACAGCTTCCTGATTAAACTCTGGTGTATTTGCACAGCAGATAAACCCATTACACAGCAGCATAGGTTTAGGCATAATTCAATTCCCATGTGTTGCAACACATCTAAAAATAATTACCCAGGACTTTCTCGTGAACTTCCTCCCTTCAGTTTTCTAACCAGCTTCTCGCTGCTGCGTCTAATTGAAGCACGAAGTTTGCTAAAGGAACCACTGCGTTTTAATGATCCAGTGCCATCCTGAAAAAAATGACCACGTTTAAAACCACAGAATCATTCATCCTTTGTCAGAGTTTAGTGATCACGAATAAACACCAATTGGTTATGTTCTGCTGTCATTGAAGTTATAAGCAAGTATCACTGAAGTTATAAGCAAGTATATAAACAAGATTTAACAAAAAGTTATTCTTAATAGATAGAGTGGATAATCTCCAAGATCACTTTGAACCCTTAATTCTAAGTTTCTGTGATAATGGCTCTGAGATGAACAGATTAAAAATAAGTACACAATATATTATCTATCGGGGGTGCATCACTTTAACTGAACCATGATGACAAGTTAACCAAGAATTACAATTCTCATACATTTCAACGAAACAAATTTTGGTAGATAGTTTTAATAAGATAAAATGATTTAATTATCTGAACACTTAATTGCTCATTTCCAATAAAATTAAATGGACCTGTATCAAAACAGTATATAGGTAAAGGCAATTCCTTGCACAATAGCCAACATTTCTATTAGCAGCACAGACATCTAACCCATTATTGCATTCTATGCAAACCATGATGCAGTAATAAGAATACAACAAAAGCCCACCACCAAGCAGTAGCATTATAGTAACAGCCGAGTGAGCAAAAATGTATTGAGGCTCAATCTCATTTGGCTCATACGTAGCAAACATATTAAGAACAGAAGCATATGATAGCACAAAACATTTTAAGTTCTTGCACTCTAGACTTCTAGAAAGTTAAGATGCAAGGCCATAATTTTACAATAATATATTTGGTGACATTTTCCAGAGGACCAATTTACATGGTGAAATATTTTGTTAACTTTATTCTCTAAGTAACTTGTTTATGCTTTATTTCAAGTTACTAATACCTTGCTGTTTTTAGAAAATAAATCTTTCCATACACAAAAGGTAAGAAAGTACTACGCAGAAGACAGAGACAGACGTCAGTTGGACTGAGTTTATTAGACAAATACACAAAGTCACCCATCACCAAGATTAGTAGAGAAAAGCATAATTGCATCTTCACATGAATACTAAACAGCACTGCTACTTTTGAATAAGCATTAAGTCAAGACATCTATATTGATGTTAAACCCTGTTATAAGTCTAAATACAATGTAAGCATGTACCTTACAGTTTGAATTATTTTTAACTAATTACTTTGTCAAAGTAACCTTCATGCTATTTTAATTTCTTGCGTAATAGCTTAAACTATCTTTCATTATAGTGAAACATTTACTTATGAATTTTCATTCTTAGTTTTGTTAACTCGTCTGTTACACAGCAAATGGTTATTAAGACTACATTCTAGAAGACTACATATCTGGCAAAGCGACACATATACAAGAGAAAGAGGATCCCCTGTCCCAAATGTGAGAGACACCAGCACTGAAGAAGTGGCCATTTTTACAGGAAGTATAGCTGTGACAAAGATCTTAAGGGATTGCTAAATACACAGCAGTCAGTAGTGGAGAGAAGTTAGAGCTTGAAGATGGTGTACGCCCGTCATGCAGGAGACAGTATTAGAGTCAGAAAAGGCATCTAGGCCTGTCGGACAGAAATGGAGAGAGAAAAACCTGGATGAAACTGTTGCGGAGGAAGTTCAACAGTTTTCAGTTTCAAGCTTGTTAATACTTATTAACAGTATTTCTAGGTCACCTAATTATGTGAATTGCTCCGTATATATACTTAGCAGAGAAGGGGGAAATTGAATATCTTTAAGATGAAAATAAAAGCCTTTAGGCAGTCCTTTGTCTTCTATTGCAAAACTCTTAGTATTCACATGCTGAAAGAATCAGAATCATCCTGTGAATATAACAAATATAATTGAGAATATATAGATTTTATAGCCAATGAATTTCCATTAAAAAAACACATCAGCCAAAGTCAAAAGGGACCAAAAAAACCCTAAAAAAAACCCAGAACAAGGTAGAGCAATTTGATTTTTGGATACTATTAACAATACCAATGTGCTCATAATAAATGCATCAATATTCCAATACTTCATTATACTGTTAAAAAAGCAAAGCAATAAACAGATGCAGACCGTCCAGCTTTCCCAAGAGAGGCAAGCCTCCAGTCCTTTACATTAAAAAAGTAGAAGAAATGGCAAGAGTTTTGCAATGATAAATTGCCCAAACAGAAGTATACTATAAGATTTGAAGATACCTGTTGGAATACTCGTATTGCGGCCTCAACCTTTCTTTGAATAAATACTATTTATCAATTCCTTCTTTTTTGTTCCTTCGATTAACTGTTTTCCACCTAGACTGCAAGGAGGAAAGTGTGACTGTTCTAAATTTACACCAACCTCAAATTTATGAATAAGATCCAATGAGATTGGCCTGCTTTCTTCTTAAACATGTAATGAAAATCTGGGCAAATTTTAGGCCTGACAAATCTGTGTGTATTTAATTAAACAGTAAAGTACCAGGGGCTTCTAACTGAGGCTTAGGTTACCGTTGATGACAAAGTCAACCTAAACACTTACTTTCAGTATCAGAACTGAACCCCTCCAGAGTTGCCTCAGCGAGATGGGTGGTATACAAGTTTCATAAATAATAATAAATTTACAACCACAATTTATGCTCGCTGTTTTGAGTTATTTATAAAAATAATAAAGATGGGATTAAAAATAAATAAATACATACATTTATATGTGTTTTCTCCCAAGCTTTGATTGTTAAAGTACTTTTGAGGGAAAGGAAATGATTAGAAAATAATGAAAACTACCGAAGATTAGAAAACTATTGTCCATGAGGAAGATCCCAACAATTATACACATGGAGTGAAGTTAGCACATTTATTCTTATTTATAGATTTTCCAAAACTATCACAGCACAGGAGCAATACTGCATGTTAAATATTTAAAGTTTTAAAGTAACATTTAAAAAAATATTTGTTGTTTAAAATACTGCCTTGACCACTTCTACAACAAAAAATGTTGTAAGAATATAGTGTAAGAATGAATAATAAAACACCCTGAAGCATTACTGCCTAGGAAGGATAACAAGTCCTTCTTTGAAAAAAGAATGTAACATCTATTCTTAATCAAGAGGCTTTTCTGAAAGATTTTCAATTTTTGTACCTTCTATTCAGAATATAGAAACATATATTGTATTCCAATAAGCATTTGAAATCTATTTCCATTGCAATTACTTGCCTTCAGTCCCTTTCTAGGAACAAATGGCAGATTGATGATGGCTCAGCTAAAAGCGGAGCTGAAATTTGGAGCTAACGGAAAGCCGTCCAGTAGATCAGCTCCTTTGACCTCTTCAGTGAGGTATTAAAGTGAGTTGGGAATGCAAAAGAGAGAGGCTGAAAATCCTTATCATATTAAATTTCCATCCAATTAATTATTTCAATATCACAAACTGCTAGGATTATTTTAAAGATGACTTTTCAGGCAAAGATAACATGTTAAAACAATAAAATATGATTAATATTCTTAGAGAAGAATCTCAAATTTAGCAGTGTTTTGTAAGAATATGATGGATGTTTAAATTGCAGCTATATTTGACATGATTTAAATCTGGTTTACTCAACCCTAAAGACCACATATCATTCAAAGCAGATATTTCCATTTTGAAGGAAGTCATTATTGATCAGAATATTTTAAAATATGGACTTTGTGATCTAGAAATACTGTTTATTTCCTTGAATGCTCTATCTAATCACAAATCTGCATATATCTTAATAAAAAATAAAACACATGCAAACAGTGCATCTTCCTGCACTTGAAAACGGAAGGCATGCCAAGCAGAGGGGGGAAAAATTCAGGGAAGAGTACAGTACACAGTTCTAATTCTAACAGGAAAAATTAAAGAATAATAAGGTAATGGTGTTTCTATTATATGCTGATTGACTGTCTTAGCACTGTTAATATTAAATCAGAAAGGAGGTCAAAGAAAGTCAAAGATGAGCAGGAAAAAAAGTCAAAGAAGAAAGGAACAAAATAGAGCCACACAACCTTTGGGGCTCTAAAATTCAGACAAGATTTTAGAGCAACAGAAGAAATGTCCGAAAAATATCCCACTATTGAAACTAATCTACACTTCCAAATGCAAGATGAATTGCTATTGGTTTCAAATGTATTATAAAAACAAAATTATCATGATGCGCTTATGATGAGCAATAATTCTATCTGCTCAGGATATCCAGTTACAAATCAAAGCTGGAAAACTATCTGCTGCTACAACAAGCGAGAATCATTACAACAATGATAAAGTTATCAGACAAATAGAAAAAGAACAATACTGGCTTTAAAAAGTCCTTTTTGTTTTAACTTCTACAGCACATTTTTGCATTACCCAATGGGAACAGATAGCATGAGATAAAAAACAAGTTTTTTTCTAAAAATGCAACAGACTTCCAGGACGTTTGGAAGCAGTAATTTATCCTGCTGTAGAGCCAGATTTTATTTTTGCATTCTAGTGTCATGAACTTTGAGAAATGTTGAATACAGAATAGATTCTGCAGCACAGCTCACAACATACAGGTGGTCCCTGACTTACAACAATTAATTGGAACTGGAATTTCTGTCATTAAGAGATGCAATCATAAAGTACAATGTCATGTGACCACATCACTTAGCAACAGCAATCCTGGTGGTCTTCATTGTAGTTGTTAACTGAATCCCACTGGTGAATAAGCAAGGACCCACTTAGATCAAAGCCATTCCTGCCTTGATCCCTCCCCATCCTGAGCTCCAGTAAAATAAGGGAGCCTCCTCTTCAGCTCCCCCACCTTCCTATCTCTGCCCTTGGCCACTTTGCCTAGTAGCATTCCTTGGCGGCAGCAGCAGCAGCAGCAGAAAAAAGAGGCCCAAGGCCTTCGGCAGTCTCAGCCAGCCATCACTATTCTGAATCCCTACTTCAGCCTCAGCACTGCCAACGACAGGGAGTGCCACCTTAAGCCCCACACTTGCAGCCAACTAGAGCCACAGCACAAAGTCCCAGCCATCACCACCGCCCTGCAATCTGCAAGTCCTGCCACACCCAGCTGATCTTCACCATCTTCTTCCCACTGCTGAAAAGGCAGGCCCAACCTGGCTATAGGTGAGGCAGCTGCTGACTATGCCAGACCTCCTTTCTAAAGCCACTCAGGTCATTCTCCAAAAAATTGTGAGTGCTCTTCTTACAATGCTTCAGAGATCTTCCGAGGCCTTCCGAAGCATTATGGGAATTGTGTGCATAATTTCAGCGACAGTGAGTCCTATCTGCAGAATGGCGTGAGTAGATTTGGTGTGGCTGGCTGAGGCTAAAGACCCTGGGCCTATTTTAGCTCCACCACTATCACCACTATCACCACCACCACTGCCGCCACCATCACCAAAGAGGCCACTGTATAAGGTGACCAAAAGGACAAAGGGGGGGGGCAGATGGGAAAGTGAGGGGAGTTGAAGAACCAATGCAATCATAAGTACAGCCAAGTTACCAAGCACCCAAATTTGAATCACATGACCAAACTGGTTGTTCAGCACCACTGTAACTTTAGACAATGAAGCTGAATGAATGTTTGTTAAATGAGGACTCCCTGTATGTTAAAAAAAAACTAGTGGATTTCATTTATACCGAAGTTATTTTCACTTCGTTTTCACAATACAGTGTCCAGGTTTTTCTTTTGTATCATTCCATCTGAGTTTACAGCAGTGTTTATTTCCCGAATCAGCAAATGTTTTAAGTGATAAAGAATACAAGCATGTGACTGTCATACTTTGCTTCCAGAAAAAAACATTAGCTTGATTTAGGCTGCGTGTTAACTAGGACATTCAATCAGCATTCAAGCAAGCACAGCAAGATCCAAAGATTAATTCCTAGGTTTTCCCCATTTGAGTATTTTCCAATTGATGTTAAAATATAAAAAGCAGGATTTTTCTTTTACTCAAATCTGCAGATGAATATAAACCAAGAATATGTTATAATACCAACAGAATAAAAACTTGACTGCACTGTGTACTGTACTCACCCCATTCCATTCTAAGCTCATACTCACTTCCTCTCCTCCATCCGGTCCACTCTCATACTTTACCACATCAATATTAAGGCTCTCACGGCTTTGTCTTCTCTCTATACTTTCTGGATCATTAAGTACTTCAGCAACTTTTTGTTTGTGAACATTATCAAGTCCCTATTGCAAGAAAGAAAGACAAAACAAACATCTGCAAGGAGCTTTTCAAATCACTCCACCTTAATGAATTCACAATAAATGAAGATTAGAAAATCCTTTTATAGCTTCCGAGATTCTGTATTTATCTCCAGAGTAGCATTAAATATGCTTTACTAGAATCTGTCTACTAAAATTGCTTCCTTGATCTTGTGAAACTTGTTAAGGAGCACGTCAGATTTAGTTGGGTCTCTTTCAATCACACTGAATGCACAATGGATGGCTCACCCAGGAGTCCCTCTCAGTCTCTGAACAGTCAGTAAATAAGCATCATACTCCAACAGAGTCCACATGGGTTTTCCTAGTCCATGCAGAATATCCATTAGAATAGGATTCATCCACATGCCCTACCTTCAATGTGTGTGGCCAGTAACATTGTTGGACTCCAAGCCCTAACCCAGCTTGGTCGCAACAGGTTGTGCTTGCCCTGAGACATCGTGTACTCAAAGAACAAGCAATACAGTGTACAGCGCATGAAACTAGTGCTCAGGCTGGAGGCCCATTCTTCCCCAGCCAAAGTCATCATGCCATCAATTGTCTGACTGTTTTGCTGGTTAGGTGTGTGCACTTCATACAAGTGTTTAAATCTTTCTTGTCAATGTTGAAATATGAAAAATCTATATGCAGTAACCGTCTTTTTCAAAGATAGTTTGAAAGCTCCATAATCAACAAGACAAAAGGGCGGTAGAGAGAGCTCATTCATAGCTGAATAAAACTAAGTTATCAACATAGTTTAAATTTCTCCAAAATCTACGCAGATCACCTTGGTTTGTTGTTGTTTTCTGGGTGCATCTGAAAAGCAAGATTCCTGGATAGCTCTTGCAAGTTTTTTTTTTTTTTTTACTTTGGTGCTGTCAGTGATCATTTGTCCTTGTTTTCTATGCACTGCTACATTCTCTAGTGACCTTTGTTTATTGATTTGAAGACCGGTATTCATTTGAAAATGTAGAAAGGACTCCTTTATGGTCGGCCTGCTAAGCTCCTATGTATGCAAACTGTGATCCTGTGTGTCACTGATTAAACAGAGATGCTTAGACAGATACTGAATGGTCATTTGTCAAAGATGCTAGCAGTGGATTCTTGTACTGGGAACAGACTTGGGGTCAATGAGCACTTGGAATTGTTATTTCCTGATATAGTCAGTGGTACATTTTGCTGCAAAGATATCCTTGAACTTGTTCGTTTGGCCTGCTTATGGCCAGTTTTCTTTAGTATTTCATGCAGTAAAGGAGCACATATCATCCATTGTTCCTAAGTTTATCTTTGTTCTGCTCTAAAATAACGGTAATATTGAAAATTTAAACAATTTAAACATTTTTAAGAACCTTTTTGTGTTATAGTACTCGCCTGTTTACGGGACCTCATTGCTGCCTCTTCTAGTGTTTCAGCAGCTTCAAACTTGCCTTGACGTCTATAAAGTGCTCCAAGATTCTTTAAAGTAGTTGTAACTGTTGGACTGTTAAATTAAAAATCAAAATTATTTCTGACAGCAATCCATAACTACCCAAGCTTGCAACAATCCTGCTTAAGACTACATTGGAAGATTAAAAGCCAATGCTCATCTTAAGCCTAATTAGCATTAGCACTCAGACTTATATACCACTTCTCAGTGCTTTACAGCCCTCTCTAAGCGTTTTACAGAATCAGCATATTGCCTCCAACAATCTGGGCCCTCAGTTTACCGACCTTTTACTAGAAGGATGGAAGGCTGAGTCAACCTTGAGCCTGTGAGACTCAAAACTGCCGAAATGCTGGCAGCCAGCAGTCAGCAGAAGTAGCCTGCAGTACTGCATTCTAACCACTGCACCATCACAGCAGTATGTATTAATAAATTAATAAAGTAATGGGCATTTATTTCCTAAGAGCATTGAATTTAAATACTTGCTTGTTATGGAAATGTTCATGCATGAGATTTTTGGATAACATACTTGCAAAGCGCACACATTGTTTTCAGTTATTTTAGTCCATTTTATAGTTAGTTCTAAAGCAATAGCTTTAAGACATACAAATTGTATTATCAATTTCCCTTTATTAACTTTTTCAGGTTTTTTTTTAAAGAAAAAAAACTGCATAAAAATATCTGATACATAATATTCTGCATTTATCATTTTTTGCTACTTGTCTCTTACAGAAAGTGTGAACATTTTTATTCCGATAAAAGAAGTAAAACCATCTCTTATTAACAATTTACAAATTCAATGCCACATCAATATTAAAAATAGGATTAAATACAAAGAGCAATACTGTGTTTCTCATATAATAAGGCCGGGTCTTATTTTTTTTTTGAGCCCTGAAAAAATGGCTAGGCCGTCTTTTCGGGGGGTGACTTAATTCCCCCCCCTTGCATCTTCAGGCGGGCGGGCGGCGATGGCTTGGATGTTGACCTCGGCGTTGGTGGGGCACTTCATATCGGGGTCAACGCAGGCAGCACCATATCCGGGTGTGCAACAAAAGTACTTCCTAATGGCAAGCCCCCCACCATTCCCCCCCATTTCGCATGTTTTAATATAGGCCTTAATTTGGGGGGAGGGACTTAATTTCATTTCATGCCTATAAAACATGCTGGGACTTCCTATTGGGGGAGGTCATATTGTTGGAGAAACAGGGTAGCAATAATAACACAAACATACAAAGTGCTGCTCCCTTTGGTGCTCCTTCTCTCAAGGCACTGTGGTTATGGTGCTTTTCTAGCATAACCACTTTAGGCCACAAAATGCTTTCAATCGCAATAGTAAATCCATTAGCTGCACCAATAAAACCCTTGGCAGAGCAATTCAGAAATATTCTTAAGAATATTTAAGATTTTTCTCTAGACCATACTGTTCTGGTGGATGGTTTTATGGTTTTGGGAAATAAATTCTCTGAACTGAAAATAGTTTGAGATATTCTACAAAAAACATTACAGATGGAACAGCCTTTTTTTTTTATCCAGAACACTGGAAACACTTCAAATGCTTCTGGTTTCAAGAATTTATTGCCCAAAGGTGTCAAACTCCCCCATTGGGAACAAAATGTTGCAGTTTTCTAGAACTATTCATTTTGGAATCAACAAAATGTGCACATTGTTAACAATAGGTGTCCTAAATAACGGTAATTTATATAATTTTTAAAAGAGCTACTAATATGATAGCCCCCCCCCTTTAAAATTCTAGTTTGAAAAATTGGTGGCTACTTTCACGAGGCAGCCATGCAGCCCAGGACAAAAATGCTCTATTTTGCTGCCTTAAGCGGTCTGCACAATACTACATAAACTTTCCGCAGCTGTAGAAGCAAAGCAAAGTGGTTTGTCCCTAGGCTGCATGGTGGCTTCATGTAAACAGCTACCCCTTTAGTGTACTGGCAAGAAATAGCAGTTGTGCTAAAAATGACAACTGCTTCCAGGAGGCAGACACACTCCCTAGGGACTCATGCCCTGCCCTCCTTACCCAAGCAGTGGATTGGTCCAGAGCTCTTCAAAAGCTAAGTGAGGAGGAATATGTGGGGCCTGGTTGAGGTAGACATCAGGACTAAGACCTGTGGGGACTGGAGGGAGGAAAAGACCTGCAAGGACCAGTGAGGCAGGGAAAGGCCTGTAGAGACCCAAGGGCTGGGAAGCAGAAGGTGAGACTCTTAGGAGTGGGTAGAACCTTCGGAGGCCCGGGGCAGATGGGTCTGGGTCTGTGCTAAGCCTCCAAGACCTTCCGCCACATCTGAGACACCTGTGCTCCGCTTAATGTTTCACACATTAACAGCTGCTTCAAAAGAGTAGGGGATGAGAGTCATTAAGCGAGACTGCCTTGCTTAACGGTCATCATCACTTGCAAACATGATGGGCAGGCTCCATTACAATGGTATCTCTAGTACTATCTGTAGCTTTGGTAAAATGATCCCTTTCTTATACATCCCCTCTGACATTTTGAAGAACGTTGAATGGTTTGAAGTAATACATAGGCCTATCTAGCAGGGGTAAAATAGATCTAGTCACACTACAAACATCAAGTGCAATAGGCAAGCAGGGGATTGTGAAAATAGTGTTCTTGTCGCCGAACCCTAAGAATTAAACAGAAAAATAGTTTGAAAACTGAAAACTTCAGGTTACCTATTTATATGATATAGGTTTTTTTTCATATAAAGAGGTAATCTGAAGTTTTCACTAGAAAGCAGAGAATATGTAATACTATGACACAATTTTTAAAAATGATTTATACTTTTTTAGCTATTATGATTTCTTTACATTTCAGAATTCATAACACTGCCAGCAGCCAAACACTACAAATGATTTGGGGAAAGTATACCTACCTGTCAACTTTGCAAGCTTTGTACCAGCCTCCATATTCACCAAATGTCATGCCGTCTTTTTGTTTTCCCTAAAGTGAGAGCAATATATTAAGAAGCAGAAAAGTGGAATATATTAAGAAGCAGAAAAGTGGAATAACAACAACATATTTATAAATTCATTTCTGCTTTTTAATTTCTTACCTTGCATTCTTCTCTCTCCTCAGCGTGCATCCAAATCGGTTTGTTTTCATCTATGTAAGAGTAAAATACGGAATTGCGAAATAAATTATCACACATTCCAGAATAATGGTTAAGGAAACATTTTATATCTATATAGAGAAATCTATCCTAGACTCTGCTAGTTTCTAAAACATGTTGGTCAGTGTTAACTAGTAGCTCTTATTTCTATTGTTGTAAAGATTACACAATTCTGTTTTTTAAAATAAGGTGAATCCACAGAAAATGATCTCATCCCGCTATGTCAAAATGCATCTACCTTCTTAGACGTGAAAAAAGGATCTATAACTCCAAGTTGTTCTATTTAAAGTAGCTTTGATCTCAACCAACCTTCAAATAGCATGTTGAGAGAACACAGGTGTCTGCTAAAGCATTACAAAGTTTTTCACTGATCACAGTATTTCGGACAACTTGTCCATCCTTGTTGACATAACTGATTTAATTCAATGAAGCTACTACACTGAAATTACTAAATACAATCAGTATTTCTTCTGTGAAACGACACTCAGCTGACTTATTTTTATTAGTACTATATTTACTACACTGGGCAGAATTCTATTACTTATGAAAAGAGGCCTAAAAAGCAGACAGATAATTGTAATCAATGGCATTTGAATGTTTTGCTTTTTAAAATGCTTCTTCCATCCCTTATTCATTATGCACTGAAATAACCTATGACCTGTTGAGTCATCATTTTAGAGCTATTTCCTTAACCAGATTCCTCAATGCATTCAACAATGGCAGAGCTTCTAATGTACTAGAAATGTTGTTAAAGCTTCAGGGAGATATTCAGAGATATACCTGCCTCAAAAGTAGCCCATGTGAACTGTAAAGCACAGTCAAAACATGAGGAGTTGACCACAGAATATGTTTTAAGATTTTGTATTATGCTTTATAATACAAAGAAAATAAAACATAAAACGTTTTATAAAATTTGTCAAACTTCAGTTCCACAACAGTCATGGCTCCTGGATTTTTGAACGCATTCTGTCAAGTTAGCCCATTTGAGATACCTTGGTTGAAGTTTTTTTGCTCTATGATGCACTTTTACGCCAAGCTAATGGTTGCAGACATAAGAATTTTAGTAGTATATATACAGTATTTGGGGGGGGGTGAATTCTGCTCAATTTAGAATTGGGGGGGGGGGTTGGGCATACCTCAAGCACAATTTGAAATATGTATCCCTTGAAAAAAATATCTATGGTCAGATCTGCAGAACTAATATAGAAATAAACACTTTTCATATAAGAATTTCTAAAATTTGTATTATTTTTAAATATGTAACATACATACGTCATATCGTTTGGAAAACAATCTCCATGTCTAACATTTTTTCATAATACAAATATTTACCATCCACGGAGCCAAATTCTCTTTCATGGGCACGAGTAAGAATCTCTTTGTACAAAGTTTCTGCTTGCTTAAATTTCCCTTGTTTCAAATAGCAGGATGCCTGAAGAAAGAAAGCATTACTTTAGCATGTTTTAAATTTAAATATCAGTATTAGCACTTGTGTAAGCATTTGTAGGACAAGCCAGCAGCTAAGGTCACAGTGTTTTGAAATCAGTTTCACATTTTCAACAAACAAGGACCACAATGGCTTGCTTCTCTGCTTTTTATTCTATTATACAAACATACCAAATTATTCTTTGTTTTTGCTACATTTGGATCATCTGGCCCCAATTTTGTTTGGTAGATCTCAAGTGCCCGCTGATAGTAGTATTCTACTTCTTCATATTTGCCCTGGTTCTGACATAGTAATGCCAGATTATTTAACTGTTTGGCAACATCTGGATGGTCTTTTCCCAGCACCTAGAAATAAAGAGAAATTTCACATTATAATTTCACATTCTTTCCTTTCTCAGATATAGCTAACATCTATTTTATTGAGGAGTGGAGATAATCTTTATCCACCTATGTTTAGTATTCATTTTTTATCAATTAATTGATTAAATTACTGCTATCACATTTACTTTTCTAGTTTTTTTTTACTAATATTCTTATTATGAATGTATTACAATACATATTTTTGTTTCTCAAATTAACCATTTAATTATATCCCAAGTCCAAAATTTATCGATCAGCATTAGCAGGATTTATTTCCATGCAATGCAGATTTTAAGAAGATATTCTGGTTCATGATTTTCATGTTTAAATGCTTTAAGGTTTTCAGGTATAACTTTACAGAATTGCTTACAGTTAAACAAGTGTGGACAGCCCTAATAAGCAATGCCTTTGCATGGAAGTTTTGTATAATGGTATTTGGGAAAGACCTTTGGAGATGGGGGAGAAGAAATGTTGTGTGGGAATAATCAAATAAGAGAGGGCATAGCTTTCAGGGCGGAGCAAGAGGCTCATAAAGACCCTCCCTAGTTTCTCGGTCTATAAAGAAAATGGCAGATTTGTGCTTTCAGATTTGCAAGATTCTATTAATGTTGCTTTATAATAAAGTACATGGTCATGTTTCTGTCTGGTCTACCTGGTAAGGCTAACACTTTGGCAGGGAAAAGAAAGTACCATGAATGATTCTTCCACTGATTCTATTTACAAAAACATACTGGAAGGCTAAAACAAATTTTCTAGCACAATTATTTATAGCACAAACACAATTGTTTGGGAAATACTATTTTCTGTAGAACACAGAGTCATAAGTCACTTTTTTCAGTGCCATTGTAACTTTGACCCAGTCACCAAATGAACTGTTGTAAATCAAGGACTACCTGTAGTTTCTGAAGGATTTAATCTAGTGTATTTTCAGTAAACAAAAGGCTGGGAAATTCAATTGTTGTGATATGCCAATCCTATTAATTTAAATCTCCTATTAATTTAAATCTACTATGCACACCTAGAAAACATATTGAAATTCCCTGGTTACGTTACTTCATATTATTTCTTCAGACTTTCTTCTCATTTATTTATTCCTTCCAACTTCATAAATTTCTTTATTGCGTCATGTTGACAGAAAAAGCTCTATAGGAAATTATCTTTGTCCCCTATTATCTTTGTCCCCTGCTGCCCAACTTCCCAGTCTCCATCATGGTATTCTTACTGCTTCCTTCAGAATCCCCTTTTGCTCTCATACTATTCAGGTTTTAGATAGCAAGGTGGGAACACTCCCCAATCTTTTTCTTTTTAAATTAGAAATTCTGCGATTAAGGAAGTTTCACTTAGAATGAAAAAAAATGTGGTATGATAGATATGCTTAAAACATTCATGTAACGACTATTTAAAAAATGTTTTGATTCCCCCCCCCACCCCCCCGCAGCATCTGCTAATATTTTCACTGGGGTGTTTTTGGCATGTAGATTATCTTATGAAACTACTTACAAAAAAGTTCATACAATATTCTTTGTTAACAACGGTCCTTGTCCTATTACAAATATTTTAATGTTCTATAATAACAAATTACAATATATCTATATTACACCAAATATTTATAAGAAAAAAACCTCCTATCTGCATACATAGTTTTCTTCTTTAGCCTGCATGCATCTTGGTAGTCATAAATTTAAAACTAGTTGCTTGCAAACTTTTAAATTCTGACAGACCTCTCCAGAGTATCGTCCAGGATACTTACAACCCAGTTCTAAAGTTCCAACACCTACCCCCTCACAGTGACATAACTGCATTTCAGGCACTTGGGAACTGGCCTACATAGCAGTTTGCAAAATCCTGTAGTCACATAACCACATTTTATGATATTTTTGCTAAAAATTTGCATTTCTGGATTTTGGCAAAACCGGACCATAGCAAATAATTGGTTCACTTAACAACCATCACAAAAATGATGACAACCATGATTGCAAAAGCTGGTCAATCATGTGGATGACCTGCTTTATGACTGTCATAATTTACAAACGTAATGGGCAGCTTCATTTAGTTCGTAAGTTGAGGACTACCTGTACTGCCATTATTATAATTGTAAAATATATTCAACAAAAATAACAGAGGACAATATTTTAAATGTAATGGTATTCTGCTTTATATTAATATTTGTTTATTGAATTCTAAGCTAATTTTACTGGCTTCATTTGTAATTATTGTGTTGTTTGGTAAAAGTATGTGGTAAGTTATTATTATTACAATTTTATGAGGGTTGTTTTGTATATCACACAAAACTAAATAAATGTTACCTTTTCTCTGATTTCCAAAGCTCTCTTACATAAAGGTTCAGCTTCCTTGTATTTTCCTCTTTTCCCATAAAGTACAGCAAGATTATTTAAAGTTGCTGCAACCTGCAAGAAAAACCAAACACTAGATCAACTACTATGCCTGCTGAAACAATTTTTAAGTTAAATAGCTCACATACTTATATTTTAGTATACTTCAAATGTAAACAATTCAGTTTTTTTAAGTGTTTATTCAAGAAATACAATTATAGGCAATATCTGTTTCAGCAGAGGAATATACTTGATACATGTATGAAGAAAGTAATTTAAATAAATAGAGCTAAAAAGATTTGTATTCAGTTATTATAAATTAAAAAAAACTGAAGGTCCTCTAACTTCAATTATGTTTAACAATAAACTTTAAAACCTTCATTTCAAATGTAACATTAAAATAAATTTTAAGGAAAAGAATTTGTGATAGGAAAAACAAAAATCTGCACTATATACAGACCGCGGGATGATCTTTGCCTAAGGTCTTTTCACGAATGGCCAGGGCATCATTCAGTAAATTTGCTGCATCTTTATATTTATTCTGGTCCCTACATTGGGAAGAAATAATTAACACACACTAGTTTATAAATCCTTTATATAAACAATATATAAATATTCAACACTTCACTTCAAAATATTGCGTGTAGCTGTCAGTGAAGCTAACAATGAAGCTAAACTTTTATTATAGGATTTTGTGGAACCACCATAAACATTGGTGAAGACAATACTAAAAAAAATGAGAATCCAGTTCTTAGGTTTAACTAAGAGACATAGCTGAAATAAAACTATGTACTACTTAGCCTTGTGGAAACCCACAAAAATAAGAGGATTTTTAAAAAAAATTTAACAATAATGTGCCTGGAATAGTAGGATTAATAAGACTTGTAAATACACTGCTCAAAAAAATAAAGGGAACACAAAAATAAGACATCCTAGATGTAAATGAATGAAATATTCTTATTAAATACTTTGTTCATTACATAGTTGAATGTGCTGACAACAAAATCACACAAAAATTATTAATGGAAATCAAATTTAGCAACCCATGGAGGTCTGGATTTGGAGTTACACTCAAAATTCAAGTGGAAAAAAACACTACAGGCTCATCCAACTTTGATGTAATGTCCTTAAAACAAGTCAAAATGAGGCTCAGTAGTGTGTGTGGCCTCCACGTGCCTGTATGACCTCCCTACAATGCCTGGGCATGCTCCTGATGAGGTGGCGGATGGTCTCCTGAGGGATCTCCTCCCACACCTGGACTAAAGCATCCCCCAACTCCTGGACAGTCTGTAGTGCAACGTGGCGTTGGTGGATGGAGCGAGACATGATGTCCCAGATGTGCTCAATTGGATTCAGGTCTGGGGAACGGGCGAGCCAGTCCATAGCATCAATGCCTTTGTCTTGCAGGAATTGCTGACACACTCCAGCCACATGAGGTCTAGCATTGTCGTGCATTAGGAGGAACCCAGGGCCAACCGCACCAGCATATGGTTTCATAAGGGGTCTGAGGATCTCATCTCGGTACCTAATGGCAGTCAGGCTACCTCTGGAGAGCACATAGAGGGCTGTGCAGCCCCCTAAAGAAATGCCACCCCACACCATTACTGACCCACTGCCAAACCGGTCATGCTGGAGGATGTTGCAGGCAGAACGTTCTCTAGGGCGTCTCCAGACCCTGTCACGTCTGTCACATGTGCTCAGTGTGAACCTGCTTTCATCTGTGAAGAGCACAGGGCACCAGTGGCGAATTTGCCAATCTTGGTGTTCTCTAGCAAATGCCAAACGTCCTGCACGGTGTTGGGCGGTAAGCACAACCCCCACCTGTGGACGTCGGGCCCTCATACCACCCTCATGGAGTCTGTTTCTGACCGTTTGAGAAGCCACATGCACATTTGTGGCCCACTGGAGGTCAGTTTGTAGGGCTCTGGCAGTGCTCCTCCTGTCCCTCCTTGCACAAAGGCGGAGGTAGCGGTCCTGAGGCTGGGTTGTTGCCCTCCTACGGCCTCCTCCACATCTCCTGATGTACTGGCCTGTCTCCTGGTAGCACCTCCATGCTCTGGACACTACGCTGACAGACACAGCAAACCTTCTTGCCACAGCAAACCTTCTTGCCACAGCTCGCATTGATGTGCCATCCTGGATGAGCTGCACTACCTGAGCCACTTGTGTGGGTTGTAGACTCCGTCTCATGCTACCACTAGAGTGAAAGCACCGCCAGCATTCAAAAGTGACCAAACCATCAGCCAGGAAGCATAGGAACTGAGAAGTGGTCTGTGGTCATCACCTGCAGAACCACTCCTTTATTGGGGATGTCTTGCTAACTGCCTATCCTTTCCACTTGTTGTCTATTCCATTTGCACAACAGCATGTGAAATTGATTGTCAATCAATATTGCTACCTAAGTGGACAGTTTGATTTCACAGAAGTGTGATTGACTTGGAGTTACATTGTATTGTTTAAGTGTTCCCTTTATTTTTTTGAGCAGTGTATAAAATTCTAGCTTCCAGGTTGAAAAGCTCAGTTAGTGGTGGGAGAAGGGAGAAATCTTGCAGGCTACTAATGAGCGGGAAGACATCCTTTTTCAGCTGTTCAGTTAACAGAACACATCTCAAGGGAGAACATGCCAGATTCTGTCACACCAGAGCCCAGACAGCCCAAGCACCCCTAGGCTAAATTACTTTAACACAATAAATTGGACTTTCTAGTTCAGATGCTTGGAGAATGACACAACTAAAGATCACTATCAGCTAATTTTACTGGGACTATCAAAGAGATGAGCAGTCTGGGCATAGTAAAAGATGAGATGGCAAGAATCCAGCTGATCTTTTTTGAAGTGACAATATGTTAATTATAGCAGAGTCTGTGTCTAATCCTATTTATTTTAATGAGGCTTAGTCCCAGATAGGCTGACACTGTATAAGATTGCTGTGTTTAATGGCACTGTAGGTAACTATTCTGTCTGCATATGTGAACATCTTCATAGTGACAGGCCTCTGCCACATAGTCTTGTGACAGTATATAGTGAAATCCTGTCAATAAAACTGCCATCCTGATTTATTACCTGGCTATCATCCTAATAATGGTTTGGCTTTCTTAAAGCTCTAGAAAAGAAAATAGAAGGTTAATGGAATGGGTCTATAAATCTAGCTTTGATTGAGGTAACTTGCAGAATCCTTTCTTCCAAGCAGAATTTGCCAGTCTTGTTGAATCAGTCCACAAGCATTTCATTTGGAGCTTGTGGAGGAAACATGGGGGCCCTGCCTCTTTAGACCAATTTACCCACACACAACATTTTGTAAAACAACAAAAACCTGGCCTTTCCTGTTAGCATTTGAGCTTGAGGTGTTGGATATTTTTAACTGTCTTATACTGTAAATAAAACATTGCATTGCAGCATCAGTACATTCTAAACATGCAACATTTTAAAACTATATTCTTAACCTTACTAACCTGTATACTAATGCAAGTATGTTCAACATAGTGGCAACATCAGGGTGATCATGGCCTGAAGTCTTTTCAAGGTCTTCGAGAGCTTGCTTACAAAGTGGTACTGCAACCTCATATCTACCTTGGGAAGCATACTGAATGACAAGATTATGGAGGGTCCTTAATCTTGCTGGAATCTCATAACCACCTTGTTGGGCAGCTGCTGCTGCGCTGCTATGTGGCTGTTGAACTGGAAATAATCAGAATAAGACCATTCAATTCTGAGGCAAGGTTAGTTTCCAATCTCCTGGAAGCTCATAAAAATCTGATTGTTCCAAAACAACTTTGGGGCTTGACAGCTATAAACTTTTCAATGCAGGTATACTATATTCACTACAATTTCACCCATCATTTTATATTTTGCTGTATGGTATGATATTAATATTATGGCAATAGCTGCAACTGTTGATTTTGTATACCATTTACAATAGCCTTGACCAAAACTAACAGTTACTTCATTATAAACCAATCAATCTACCATTAATATAGTTGAACTGGCCTTTGTTAGTAGCGTATACACTAATGTTTTACCTGTAAAATATTGTATACCTATTACGCTTAATAATATGACATGCTAGTGTTTGAGAATACCTCTTTTTGGACACGTTCTGTAAAAAAAGTTAAAGTACTTTCATATTGCTTTTCTCTTCAAATTACCTGGTTTTTAGACAAACGTAGTTCAGCTCATGAAAGGAAGAAATGTTAGGGACCCATGCACTAGTAATTGTTAAACAACGTAACTGGGGGGTGGATGGGGGGGACCAAAAGTTCTCCCCAATTTCAAATTTTGGGTGAAGGCTTACTAAGACAAGATTGGGTTTCAGAAATGAAACAGATTCAGGGTGTAGTCTGGTAAGTTTAGTAAATTAATTACAACTATAACTTACTTCCTTGTCCTTGGTCATCTTCATCATTGGGGAATAAATCATCCAATGGTTCTTTGGCAGAATCTGCGTCTTTGTCCTCCTAAAATGTATCCCAAATATGCAGACTATTAAAATTGCTGAATCAAAATATAGATACATTTTTACTTTGGATTGTATGTTGTTTTAATTCTGAGGGGTCCTTGATGTTCTCTGAGCTTGTTTACTTGCAGATATTTCATTGCCCTAACTAGGTAACATAATCAGTGCTAGTAAGGAGCGATGTTTGCTGTCAGTTTATATTCTGGTGTCTTGCCTGTCTGTGTGGGTGGGGTTAGTCTTCGAGATTCTTTGATTGGGTTGTTTACTGATGACTCTTAGACAGTTTCTTGATTGGGGTATTGCTTAGATTGTTGGTCTGAAGTTAACCTTGGAGTTAATCTATGCTGATCTGGGTGCTGATTACTCACCAGTAATCAGCACTCAGATCAGCATAGATTAACTCCAAGGTTAAAGTCAGACCAACAATCAAGTAAACCATCAGTAAACAGTCCAACCTAAGAATCTCTAAGACCACCCCCACAGACTGGCAAAACACCAGAATATAAACTGACAGCAAACTGCATTCCTTACTAGTCCTGATGATGTTACCTAGCTTGGGTAATGAAACATTTGAAGAAAACAAGCAAGCTCAGAGAGCACCAAGAACCCCTCATTTCATCCCTGAGCTACACATATTCTCCTTTATTATTTTAATTCCGTTGTCTTTCTTTTTACTCTGAAAATGTAACAATCAAGAATTGTTAGATTGTGGTGAGATATCAAACCAATAAAATGTATAGCACATATAGCATACTTAGATTAGAAGGTGCATTTGGGAAAGTAGAAATTAATTTGTTTTAAAGATATAAATGTACTGCTTTAATTTCTGGCCTGTCCCACATATTTGTCCTTTGGCTTCCAACTAGAAGCCAAGTAAATACTGGACTCAAAAGAGGCTGCATTATAAAAATATTACAAAATTACACATTTTATGGAATTCGATAAGTAAGCAAGATTGACATCATGTACAAAGACTATACAGCAGTGGTCCCCAACCTTTTCTGTACCAGGGACCAGTTTCACGCAGAAACACTTTTTCAAGGACCGGGGGGGGGAGTCCGAGTTTGGTGGTTTGCTTGCAGATGTTTCATTACCTGACTAGGTAACATCTGATGTTGTTACCTAGTCGGGTAATAAAACGTCTGCCAGCAAACCACCAAATTCAGGGAGCGCCAATGCCTCCTCATTGCAACCCTGAGCGACAGATATTCTCTTCTATTGGGACATTTAAAACGGAGGGTTTCAGCTGCAGATTCAGGAACTGCGCCTGGCTGAGGAGCGCCTTCAAAACTGAGCGCTGGGCGGTGGCGGCCCACAGCTGTCTTCGCAGCTCAGGACAAGTCCCTGCAGGACGGCTGAGAAGCCCCGCCTCTTGGCCCTGCCTCCCTCAGCCTCATCCCTCAGGTGTCTCCCTCCCTCCCTCAGCCTCATCCCTCAGGTTTCTGCCTCGTTCCTCTCTCAGTCGCTCTCTCGCTCCTCCACCAGCCCAGGAAGAAACTGCTTCAAAGAAGCCGGCAGGGTGGCTTCCTGTCGGCGCAGCTCCTCCGAAGCGCCCGTTCACCCCCACACAGCCGTCCGCGGTTCAATCCAGTGTTCCGTTCTGCCTGCCTGCCTGCCTTCGTTTCTGGTTGTTTCGGAGCAGCTTTGGCTGAGAATAATAACTATTCGCCTCTTTTTCTCAGCCAAAGCTGCTCCGAAACAACCAGAAACGAAGGCAGGCAGGCAGAACGGAGCACTGGATTGAACCACGGGCGGCTGTGTGGGGGTGAACGTGCGCTTCGGAGGAGCTGCGCCGACAGGAAGCCACCCTGCCGGCTTCTTTGAAACAGTTTCTTCCTGGGCTGGTGGAGGAGCGAGAGAGCGACTGAGAGAGGAACGAGGCGGGAGGAAACCGAAGCCACTGAGCCGGAGAGCAGGACAGGCTTTGGTTGCTTCCTCCCTCCCCTTCTCTCCTTTGTGTTCTTGATCCCTGATCCCAGCAGCATTCACCGAAGGCGAAGAAAGCCGCCATTTTTATTTTATTTTTTATTTTTATTTCTTTGCGGCCCGGTACAAAGTGATCCACGGCCCGGTACTGGTCCGGGGCCCAGTGGTTGGGGACCCCTGCTATACAGCCTTTGTCTATCATTACAGATATTAAAGAAATTAAATTTGCCTTAAAAATTCTAAATATTTTCAGAGTAACATTCATTCACAGAAAGGAATTTAAAGAAAATCATGTAATTTATTTGAAGCTACTTACTGAAGGTGATATATCATCATCATATTTTTTTAACTGATTCATGAATTCAAGGTGCTTCTTTTCTTCTTCCAGCTGAGCCACAGACTGTTCACTTTTTTGTAATTTCTGCTGGGTATTAGCGAGTTCATCTCTTAGCCACTGGTTTTCTTGGCATAGCCTACGAACTTGGGCACGTAATTTCTGTTTCTCTGATTCTACAGCATTTAGATGATTTGACAAAGCCATCATCACCTAGAATGCACCAAAATTGTTATTTGTTTGATTCAATGTTCTAGTACTTAAATATTTTGTAAAGCCATGAGGAAATGGACATTGGTTAGATAGAGAGATGATAGAATGATAACTAGAGAGAGAGAGACAGACAGACAATATCCACCAATCAATAAATTAAAGAGCTGACTTCATTAAAAACAAAACAAGGGAAGCCATGACAAAGGAAACAAAGCATAAACACGAAGAATTAAAAAAAATGCCTTAAAGTCTAAAACATTTATAAGACATTTATTATTAATGTATATATGACACTGACCAGAGGACAGTGGATAGAAAGCAGGATATTAAAAATAGATGATTTATGATAAAAATGATAAATTTAATAAAATACTTTAAGAATTAATATATTAAATGTATAACCTATTGAATAACAGACTACTGTATGAAGTAGACATGTCAAGATTTTGTGTTATATTTAAGTATGTATAAGTAAAGCTGTTTACTGATTAGTGACAAATAAGATAGGGCAAAAAATAAAACCTACATGCAATGTGGGAAATCTAGAAGAACAAAATTGTGAATTAATAATATCTGAAAATAAAGAAAGTAGTTTCCTTCATAGGAATGTCAACTAAATTCTCCTATCGATGCTAAGGATTTTGGCCTGATACCAAGGAACAAATAAGACTGTCCTAAAGACAGACGAAAACAGAATGTATGTTACTGTAAAAACAGAATCGAAAAACAGCATGTGTACTGAAGTCAGTTTTATCCAAAGCACAGAGCCAATTATACATTGATCATATACAATCATATTTAAATTGAATTAAAATACAAACTTTCCCCCTTGATTTTGAATATCAGAGATTAAATAAGGCTATCTTCATTCATTTTATTTACCTGAGCTTCACTTAGTCCCAATTCTAGCATTTCCAAAGACTTCCGAATCATATTTGATTTTTCTTCCACCAGATTGGTCTCGTCATCTTTCTTCAAACATTTTAGTGTCTCAAGTAAACTCTGTAAGATGGAATTGTGCTCATTCTTCAAGGCTTCTAGGCCTTGAATCACTTGTTTAGTCTTGGAAATAATCTCATCCTGAGTGAGCTTTTCCAATTTGTCTTCTTTTAGATACACCATTGTGGACATGTTGTCATACATTCTACGAAAAAAAAGTTCCAGAGATATTATTTAAATACCATCTAAATACATTGTTTCAATAGTAAAGTTTTAGCTCACGTACCCATAATGCAATTTATTTACTAATAATTATGCCCAATAACATTTATTTTCTGAAATGATCACAATGATATGTAGAGTTCATCTTCCCTTAACTCAGAAGAGAGAGATTGTTGTTATATTATGTCATGTTCCTATGTAAGGAGCTTCACATGACTTTTATGCCTCTTGGGGATGGGAACATTTCTCTATTTCCATACAATGTACATCCTATGTGATGTTTGTGTTTGCTTATTCTGTGGAACCAAAAGTTTATGGAATAAACTGTATATTAAATGTAGATTGTATATATCATTCTGATAATTTCTAGATATCACCTCCTACAACCACTGAGGACCAGGACCTGGACATTTCTTAAAGCTAAACATTCATGGGAAGGAAACATTAATGAGTTCAGTCCCTAGTAGAGAATTATAGAGATGCTACAGAATAATATCTAGCTCCCTATATTTCACAAGCTCCAAATAAGGCGATCCAATCATGTAACACCCGTTTATGGTAGTTGATATACAGTATTCTCTGGAAAACTCAGAAGGATGAAAGCATAGTATCAAATGACATTTTATGATTCTATTAATGTATAGGCAATATTGAATAGGATTCCAATTGTAAACAGAAGATAAATAAGCATATCAATATAAAGTGCTCAACAAATAATTCCATAAGCAGTGATGCAGCTCTGACATTTAAAACAGGTAGTCCTTGATTTATGACAGCAATTGGCACTGGAAATTCCCTTGCTATGTGGTCACTTAGCGATGGCAATCCTTACAATTCTGGTTGCTGTCATTAACTGAATGCCACAATTATTAGGCAAGGCAACTTCCTGCCACTTCCCACAACCAGTCAATCCCAAACTGGCAGGAAGGTAAGTGGCTGTTGCCATGTGGGGGAAGAAAGAAGAGGGTGTATGGAGCGTATGGAGGGTTGAGGAAGTTGCATGACAAGCACACACAGGTCAGAGAGAGAGAGTGTGTGAGAGGTATGAGTTGAAGAGAATAAATGAGGGGACATATGAGACACTGCATGGGTCAGGGAGGTACAAAGAGGATGCACAAGAGGTGTCATGCAGGTCAGGTAAAGTACATGAGTGTGCATGAGAAGTGCGATGGGGGTCATGGAGGGTATGTGAGAGGTGCAGGTTGGGGAGGATGCATGGAGGTGCACATGTGGCCAAAGCGAAGCAAATGCAGAGTGGCTGGGGAAGGGTGCACAGATGGAAAAGTCTTATTCAATCACCTTGCAGTTTTCCCTGCTGGCTTCCCCACTGCCTTTCTGAGGAAGCCAAAAAGGAAATTGCAAATGGTGATTGCATGATCATGGGGCACTTGGCATCCAGTCATATACTGTTTGAAATCCTTTTTTTTTTCTATCTTTCAATGGAAAAAACAGGTAGAAGAAAGGCATATCAGCAGCAACTATTGGAGTTAGCTCTATTCATTAAATACAATTCTCAAGAGTGTGGACACAGGGAAATCAATAACTGTTTTACTTCTCAATCCTGTCATAGCCATGCTTTGTTACTCCTACTTCTTGTCCAATTCTTTCTTTTTTTCAAATAGAAAGGTTCACATCAACATAAAGAATAAAAGAACTATAATTGCCATACTGCTAAGATATGCTCTAAATCCCAGGTAACCTCATACATTTGATACTCCTACCATAAACTTCCATAGTCTCCATAATTGGTACATACATTGATACATTTTTATAGTTCTGTGTCTTAAATCTATTTTGATTTTGTTGCTGTTTTTATTATAATTTACTTGTTTTGTTCATAAGTATCTATGCTATTGTTATATTTGACTGTAAATGTAGGAAATAAATTGGCTAAACAGCATATTCAAATATAAGAAATAAATTAGTAAGCAAAAACCCAATAATACTTTCTATCATGCCAAGTTACCAAACATTGGATGAAGCCTGTCATTCCCAAATCTGAGCCAGGGAAAGTACCGGTACCAGCAGATGAACCCAGCATGTAACTCCCGACACTCCCAGAATCAATTAGGTTTAGAAATATTTTAAAATATTGAAATGTCAACATATCTATTACTTCTTCAATCAGTTAACCTTGACAAGTCTTAAAAATACCTAAACCAGAAGTTTTCAAACTTTCATCAATCACCATGCTCAAGCTATGTATAGTGACAGCCCAGTTCACCAACAGTTCCATTTACTAAGTGGTAAAATATCTCACAGTGCTCTATGATTTTGCTGCAATGCCCCAAGGTACGCAGCATATTGCTTGAGAACAGTGGACCTAAATACAGCTTCTATGTTCGATAATTCTCCACATTTTTCAGGACAAGAACTTTTCTCATTAGTTCTTGTTTTCTATTTGTAACTACTGACTTTTTTCATGTACTATTAATTAACAAGCCAGATACCATCCAGATGATTTGACCATACTGACTGGGATGAAAAGGTTGAAATCCAAAGTACCTGGACTTCTCTTTAAAAAAATCTAATATTGAAAAACATTTTTACTTATTTATCAAACTTGTATGCTGTCCATCTCATTGAAGGCGATTTTTTAAAAACTTGTTTTACTTTAGAGTAGATGAGAAATCAAATCTGCAAATACCAATTCATTTTTTAAATTTATTATTTGTAAAAACATCATTTCTGCACATAAATACATGAATACATATCTAGACACCGAATATCATTGGCATAGAAATTATGAGTCTCCTTGGTATTATTCTTTAATAGGTTCTATATTCTTTTTTTTCTGGACAACTACAGGTAGACCTCGCTTACCGATTAACTCATTCAGGGACAGTTCATTGTTAAGATGGTGCTGAAAAAATAACTTTAAAACCAATGGCTGTGTTTATAACCTTCTCAGTGTCTCTCAGTCATAAGATCACCATTATAGTCAATATACATTGACTGATCCATTGTTCCTACCCACCCATCTGCCACTTGCAGAGTAGAAAGATTGGAGAGGAAGGGATTACAAGAGAATAAGCAGGGATGGGTTGTTTACCTAGTACAGTTGGGACTGCTGGCTCCACCACATTCCTTCCAATATGCATTCCTCCATTGTTTGTACCTGCTTACTCTCTTATAATCACTTCTTCTCCAATTAATTATAAACATTAATTCCTTACTGCTAATTATGCCATCGTTGGAGATAGCACTCCAAAGAGAGGTGGAGTGGGGGGAGGGGGAAGGAAGCTGAAATAAAATCATTAGGAGGCAAACAAATGCAAAGACGTTAAATTGATTACAGTGGTCTTGTCAGTTATGGGCAGCTGTTGCAAGCTTGCCTATTATGGCAGCACAGTAAGCATTCCACAGGGCAGGGAAATGGGTAAAAGCAGTCACATTATTTCCCACATAGTAACCACTTTGCTTAACAATGGACTGCTGGTTCCAACTGGGTTCAGTAAATAAGAACTAAGCAGATTTTTAGTAATATAGTAGATTTTTGCAAGATATAAAAAAGCAAATCACTATGCTAATTCATGTATTGATCACTATTTTTCAACAGTTACGTCATAAAGCATTATACAGTTAGCTTTAAAGTTTTAAACAGATTAACTTACTGAACTAGCATACATTGAGAAATGTAGATATTTCACGCTTTTGAAATATCTACATATGCTACATCATATTTATGAGATATCAACAGATATGTTTTATACTAAGGCAGAAGTCCATGCTTTTTCAGGATGGAGTCCACAGTTGGTCTTTTGAGTTGTTCTAAAAATCAAAAGCAGGATATTACCTTAAAATTACATTTAATTTGGCATGAAGCACTGAGGTCCCCAGTTGTTCCAATTCTACATACAATAAATTGTTTACAAACTGCAATAGATGGTTTGATAAAAATGTGGATAAAACCCAGTTTTATACAGTAGTTAGAATGATGTGCACATCTAATTCATTCAAATACTACTAAACTGATATCAAAGCCTTCATACTGTTTATCTTAGTGTATGTGGCCTCTTTAACTCCAATTTCCCTTTAAATCACACTTTCTTGCACTGAATGTAGTCACAGATTACTCTATATGATGATCTCAGATACTGGCTGGTTAAATGAAGATTAAACTGATTTCCCAGTTATAATCTGATTCACAATCTGTGCATGAACTCATTATTTAAGAAACTGAGATCATGAAGTAAGGAAGCAGGAGATGCTTCTTTTAGCTTAACTGAGGAGTAATGCATGAAACAGACTCTTGTGCAAAATCAAGTTAATTCCCAATAAAGTCAGATTTGGAGTATTCCCATGAAGTGAAAGATCCTGCAGATCCCTTTCAGAATTAGATAGTTCTGGCTATTTTCTGAAAGCCCACTTCAGATTATTTTGGCAGTTTAGCATAGCTATTCTTGTGAAACCTCTTTCCTAAACATTTTTGATTCCTCAAATTGAAGACGTTGGGGCTGTTGGCAAATAGGTTAACTGAAGTCTGAATACAGATATCACTTCCTACACAAAACTAACAGAGAAGTATACTTTTATAGGACAAGACATAGCTGAATAAATATGTACATTTTTAAAAAAATTACAGAAATCTTCATCATGTCATGAAGACCTAGGTCTGAATTACACTAATAGTATCCAAATCAGGCACAATCTAAGTATCAGTGGGCAATGGGTTTAGGTTGAAGCCACATTCAAACTTCAGTAATATGCTGAATATGCTGGATTCTACCAGTTCATTACCATTCCCGGTAGTTTGGAGAACTGGTAAAACGGGCCCCTGGCTGGCCCTGCTCCTCTCTGCCTGCTCCGTTCCCTACCCAGTCAGTCCTTATTACACATGCGCAATATCGTATGCATGCGCAACAATCGCTGATGGCCACAGCGGTGCATTGGAGAAGCGGAGCAAGCAAAGCCGGAGGTCGGTAATTTTCGCTGCAAAAAAGCATCCAAATGCCTTGTGGTTTTTTCGGTGCATCTGGAATC